AATCTGGCCTTTGGAGGATGCAGCCGCTGAATCCAAACTCAGCAAGTGGTCACAATCAGCTTTCTGATTGTTCCATGGTTCTGCCAGCAGATGGCGCCACATCTGTTTATGTCTGCTCATCGCACCTGATGCTCTAATTCTATTTAGGCTAAAGAAGGTCTTTTTTTGCACTATGGGTAAGACTGCTTGCTGCATATAACCTCACTTTATCATAATCCAATACTTTTTAGTCTTTATCGTATAGGCATATAATATGGCTATGCATCTTTAATTTTGACTGTTATGCCTGCTGTTGCAAATTTCCTATATACTTAATTTTCTATTTATTCTTTATGCGATAGTCAAAGTAACAATCTTAACTTATTTTGGCATCTACTTGAAGGCAAGAACGTATGTCAATGTATTTAATGTCGGTGGCTTCAAAACTGACAACAACATGAGAATTTATTTTTGAGTATTCATTTTCATCATCTTTACCAGGGGAATAAATGAAAATGTTTTTCTTTCCAATCTGTTTGATAAAATAACGGGCTATATAAATGTACTAAAAAAGAAAGCAAGTTCAAAAATTTACTTTTTATTGAAAAAGCAAAACCTGTATATGTTTGCAGTGTTTATATTGTAAAGTTTTGAAGGGTTTTTAATGCCATAGACCATCACCACGAATACAGTCAAAGGATTGCATTAACTTAGCAACAGCTGCATCTTTGTTCATGCCCTTTGCAGTCCAGGCCTATGAAATATGTCATATCCTCAAGGCCTGGAAATGCCTCAACACATTCCCCAATAATTCGCCCTGTGGGTCAGAAATCACATCCAAGCATCTTCGCTCTCTGAGCTATGACTCAGACTGTACAGGAGTGAAAGACCCAGATCTACTCTGACTTGTTTGCTTTTCATCACCCAAGGAAGGAAAACACTTAACGAAGTATGTTTTTTTTTTGTTTTCTCTTCTTTTCCCCCCTTTTATCTATTTTCTAAAGAGTCGTAGCCTCAGGCTCCTATGGTGTTTCCCTCTGTTCACTTCTCTGGTTGGGATGGAGGCTGATGGGTCCTGACATGATGGTGGTATTGTCCTCACCATTGAGTTAATGTGACCCAGGGGAGGCTGTCCCTGTATGCTTGGCCTGATAGCAAAGAATTGAAAGGGTGTTTCATCCTGGAACGTTTCTGGGAAAGGGCCAAAAGGGACTAAAACGTGGCAATGCATGAAGGTAGACTGAGAGAGGTTTTCCCTAAGTGGGTTTTCCTAATTCAGATAATGAAAAAGAATTGCAGAAGAACAAAATAATTGAAAAATAAAAAATAAAATCTGTACGATCCCGGAAACAAGTGCACATTTAAAAGATAAAAGTATAAAGATATTTAAAATAGATAAATTAAAGCTGGAAATGAAACCCTTCAGTCCAACATAAACTAAGCTTTATTTTTAATTTCCCAGTATGTTTTTGAGAAAGCTTTCCTAATCTGTTTGAATGGATTTCTGCCTTCATAAATTGGAAGCAACGGAACAAACCGTGAAAGCAGAAACATAGTAATTTGAAAAAAACCTATACTTGCTCATATAGCATTGTTTCCTCAGTCCAAATCTAAACTGTTGTACGTCTTTTTATTTAAAGAAAATGTTTTCAGTGACACTTTATTCTTTTACTTTAACAGCTTTGTTTATAGATGTTGGAGCTTGACCTGTTTTCCAGTGTAGTCCTGTTTCTCTGACTGTGACTAACTGGATGCGCTCTCTTCATCCTCTGACATGGGAGCTGGCTCGGAGCTCGTCTGCCTGGCTGTGTGTTTCCTGGACGGGGCCGCCAGCTGCCTTTTGTATCTCTGCTTCTGTCTCCTTGAACCCCACTCGGCCTCAGCAGCTGGCCGCTCACACTGAGCCTGGTTCTGCTGGAGGTTTCTTCCTGGTAAAAAGAAGTTTTTCCTCTCCACTGTCACTACAAGCATCCTTAGTGTGAGGGATTGCCTTTGAATCAATGAGTCGATGCATCAACTGGTTTTCTTTAACTGTATGATCTGGTGAATTTTAAAGTTCCTTAAGATGACATGTTCTGGGATTTGGTGCCATAGAAACAAAATTAATTGAATAGAAAAGACACGCCCTCACCACTTCAAAGGGAGTTTTTCCTCTCCACTGTCACTACAAGCCTGCATAGTGTAAGGGATTGCTGAAGAGTCAATTAGTTGATGCAATCAACTGGTTTTCCTTAGATAGAAAACATTGAATCAATCTGACTGGATGATCTGGTGAACTGTAAAGTGCCTTGAGTTGACATGTGTTGTAGATTGGCGCTATAGAAATGAACTGAATTGAGTTGAATAATTGGAAAAACGATTCAGTTCTAATTTGAGAGAAGTCGGTGGCATAACAAGAAGATAAATAAAAGAGCTTCAAAAAATGCATACACAACGATACTATTGGAATAAAAAATATACAGTTGCATACATAAAAACCCAATGTCTATCTGGGCATTTTTTATTCTGAACAATTTTTACTTTTTATGACAAAGGAAAAAAATAGACACAAAAAAACGTCAGAAAACAACAGATTTCTTAGTTAAGCTTATCTATTTACTCATAACTTCTTTGCCTTGCAAAAATATTCATACTGTTTGAACTTTTATTTATCCTTAGGTGAATAACTCATGTAACCTTTGCTGTATTAACAGATGCTGCTCTTTTGATATTTCTTTACCCCCTTTTGTGCATTACATCAATTTATTTTCCTATTCTTTTTTATAAACTAGTGAAATATTTTACATTTATTTTAGGTCACTACTTTGACTGGCCCATTCTAATTTATAAAAGTGTTTTCCTCAGCTTCACAATCTGTTTTCTATATTCCCTGGTATCCAGGATGCTTTTTGTTAAAAATGTAACTTATGAATAAAAAAAGTAAATACATGATGAAAATATACTGAATATTGTATTACAGATCATTATATTTTTCTTATATTATATATTAGAAAAAGTTTTTACTGAATATACAACAATTTCAAGAAGTTTAAATACTTTTGCAAGGCAAAGTATAAAGGTTTGTTGATACTTGACACATTTCTGGAAAATGTATAAAATAAATAACATATTTGAAATAAAGAAAAACAAAGGAGCTGTTTATGATACAAAATATAGTTTGTATACAGGGTAAATATAAACCGTGGGACACTTTCTTCCAGCAGACTTTAGCATTAACTCTCATTTTAAGAATGAAATTAGTATTTAAGAATCACTATTAATTAGTTTCCTGGATAGTTGAATTTCTTTACTGTAAGTTGAACAAACAAATTTTAAAAGCGGCTATAAAGTACTACTTGTCAGACCTGCTAATTGATCATAAATAACATTTTTTTTTAATGAAAAAAAACAAAAAACTAAAAGACACATTTAAAACCATCTTTAAAGCCACTTTTTAATTTCTTATACTGTTTGTTTCACCTATTATATACGTCTTGAATTGTCATGTTTATGGTGACGGAGCTAGAATTAGGCAAACTAAAGTTAGTCTGTTCCTCCTAGTTGTTTTAAGCGCTAGTTTTTTGTTTCCAGGTTGCTTTGGGTAAAAGGTAGAAACCGGTGAAGCGAGTGGTTTTTAAAACCATATTTAATACGATCAACTTTGTTCCTATTGTGTAGCAATAAAATAAAACAGATCTATCTATCTACAACACTGCCATATTGTACAATTGTCACTGCAACATCTTTACAACCAACCTCCAAAAATGTGTATCATTAAATTTTTTAAAGGAAAAGTCCGGTCAGCAAGGAAAAATCAATGGATTATTATTTATACCCAAAAATAATACGTTTTCAGTGATTTAATGAATTTAGCGTTAATCAGTAAAAAAATTAAAATAATAATTTTCTAGTCTGGGAGCGGCCATTTTTGCCCAATTATAGTAGCCCCTCCCTCCTGCCATCTTCCAGCAGTGACGTCACGGTGCGGTAAGCCTAGCGCCATTCTCCCGCTTTACAAGCAAAATCAATGGGAACTACTAGACACATCTGCAATCAACAACAATTATTGAAGATTTCCAGAGGACTTCACCATTGAAATTCACCAGAGCTATAGTGAAACTGACAATGCCCACGTGCATGGCAGCTGGATGCTGGAATACATCGGTTAAAAGGGAAAAAATATTATTTCACCTTTCTGATTCCTGATCCTCCACGGACGGGTTGGTCGTTGGATCGCCAACTTGAAGAGGGAGGATTTGCCATCGAACTTCTGGCCAGAGAAAAAACCCGTAATATGTAGCCAACATTTGGAAGAAGAATGTTTTAAATATGACTTGGATAATAGCGCGTTTTGACAAACACTAGATACAGCACTGGGACTTGATCAACAGCCGATACCGCACCGTGACGTCACAAACCAGTAGGTGGCAGTAGTGTTCTTTGACAAACATGGATGCCTCCAGTAAAGCACATTCAAAGGAAAATTACTCTGAATTAAAACACGTATCATTTATTGAACAGTTTGTAATAATTTCATATTTAAAGTTCTACCAGAAGTTTGAATTCTGAATATGAAAGGACTTTTCCTTTAAAGGAGCTTATCTCACTGTGATTAGTCTGATGTTAGTCTTATATCCTGTTTGACTAGTAACACCTCTACTTTCTAATAACATAATTTGTTCCTTCAACACCAAAATCAAAACCAAAATGTTCTTTGGAGAAAACTAAGCTCTGGCCTTTAAAATCTAGATAAAGACATATTTGTTTTGTCCTCCAGACCAGATTTCCATGTGGTTTAAAGAACCATAATAGCTACAGGGGACACGGCAGAACTGCAATTGCCATAAGTCTGGGAGTTTTCAACTCCGTCATATATTGAGTCCTTCATGTTCAACAAGGAGTCTCTTTCCTTGGCTTTTCTTCATGTTAAAAATCGGAGTTGTCTTCTTGCATTACCCGTTACATGCTGGACAGATCGTAATGGCTCAATCCAATGTTTTTCTTTTGGTTAATATTCAGGTAGGTTGCTCTTACTGAAACACTCAGACAGTCACCTCAGTGGCGCTGTGGGTGGAGTAGCTCTTCTGCCTGCTGTGGTGGTGGTGGTATGAGGGCTGAGAAGTGTGCTGCACCTGCACATGGTGACCCTGCCCTCCTCCACCTCCAGCTCCTCCATACATACCTCCATAGGGATGGTTAAAGACATCCTGCATGTTCTCTATGCTCTGCTGCCTCCGTGTCGAGTATCCGTGTCTCCGAGTGGAGCTGTGCAGAGACGAAGAGGTGTGCGCTGGAGCAGAGGTCTGCCTGTGGACATGGCGGCCAGCTGGTTCCCAGGCTTTGAAGGCAGAATTGGAGATAAACGGGTGTGTGGTGGTCTTAGGGAGGCGTGAGTGCTCAAAGTGGTTGGATGGGATGGAGATAGACAAAGGGGTGTGGATATCATGGTGCGCTGGCAGCGGCTGGTGGATGTATGACTTCTCTTTCGGCTGTGAGGACTGGAAGGCAGGAGGTGCTACGGGTTGGTAATTGGAGAAGTCCATCACAGGAAAGCTCTTATAATAGCTACGGGAAGCGGTTTCTGCTGCAGAGAGAAACACAGAACAAATATTCAACATCCAGCTCATTTACAGATTTTTGCTGTCAAGCTATTTTGGATCAGATAATTTCTAATAGGTATCATCATCAAACCCTGAGAGGAGATTTCTTTTGTTAATTTTATATTTAGGTCATCATCTAGGTAATATCTTACATTACACCAGTCCTTAAATCCCTGCTCTTATTTGTTTGACAAATGATAGAAAGTGTTTTGGATAGTGTATCTCTGCTTCTGCCTACTTGAACCCCTGTCGGCCTCAGCAGATGGCCGCTCACACTGA